GAGGATTTCAATGAGCCTCAAATTTACTCGCAAATGTTAGTGAGAGGAAGAAGTAGGCCTTCGTCATCATCCTGTTACTGGAGCAAAGGGAAACTAAATAGCATAGTTCATGAACCACAAAACCTGGAGTTCCTGCCCCTTGCCTGCTGTTATTATCAAAGATCTCTTGCCAAGAGGGGTCATGACCTTTGATTGTGTGGCTTGTCCATATGAAGTCAAATAATTCTCCCCAACCGGCCATTTTAACATGCTCAGAAGGAGGTGCTGCAGAATGCCCCATTGCTACAAACGGATCTCTCTGGGATTAAAACCGTGCCATGGAAAGCCCAGAAACTTGCACTGTAAATTATTCGACACCAGGGAAGCTGTGTGAACTCCCAAGGCCATCTGATTTCAGGCTGAGCAGCTCCAAAATCAATGGTTCTGGCTTGTAATGCTGACAAGTTTGTGTTTTACTCTGCTGCTCGGTCGTCCAGAATCACCATAAACTAGGTAGCTGAAAGGCCTGCTTTAATTTACCACAGGGCCTTTACTAACACATGAATACTCTTTCAGCTACATCTCCATGGAGCAATGGTGCCCGGGCTGTAGCCTGTCAAGCCATATTTTCCAGCCCTCCTAATTTGGGCTCTGACCCTCCCGATTTCCTTTTCAGGCATGTTTCTTTCTATTCCCTAAAGAGGGGACCTGGCTTATACAATCTCTCTGGATGTTCCCCTGCAGCATAACATGAGGCTAAAAGTGCAGCATTGTGTGCAGACACAGCAAAGTGACCTCCAGCTTTCCGCAGCAAGCAGGATGACATGGGTGCATTAAGTTAACCTTTTCAGACAGGCATAACGTGCCATCAGTAAACACTCGGGTGCTAGCTCATCCTCGGACCTCAATGCTTGAAGCCAGACCTTAATTAGTCACAGGACATTCTGGCCTTGCATATCGTTTTTATAATAAAAGGGGGGCGCTTGCATCAGATCTAGACTTTGCTTTGCACAGATGCCCAAGAGGAATCCATATCAGGGGGCAATGCAAAGCCATCCTGGGCTTTCCACCCATCCTTCCACATGATTCATTGTGACCAACATCACCAGCTAACCAAGTCTGTGCTGGTGACAGAAACAGACCAAGGCAGCACTGCCCATTAGCAACAAGCGGGAATAATCCTGAACTGGATTTCTATGGATTTATACCCCTGATCCGCCACGTTCAATACAACTCCCTTTATAAATTGGCTTTTACCCTCTACCTCACCTACTTCAGCACTGCAAAACCATTCAGTAGGGCTCCTGGTAAAGAACGAGAAGTGAATGAGAAAGTGGAATGGGGACAGACTTTCATGCGTGAGAGTAGCAGAGCTGTTACCACTTTTAGACTTTGGAGGAACCTCAATGAGTTGGTATGCTGCACATCAGAAATGTCACCGTTCTTTTAGTGGATTAGTCTCCAATCACATTTCTCCTCCTGGGGTCTTGGAAGTTTATTCTTCATATAGGTTTGTTTTTATAGCAGAGATCAGTTTAATTCTATTTCTGTTGTAGGCCCTGGAAGATGTAATCTTTAAGGCATCTCTCTTTTAAAACTTTAAGGGACACGGTAGAGATAAAAATCTATATACAATTTTATTTTAAAAAGCCTTTGCAGATGACTCAAAAAGTCTGCTTTATTTATCAGTCTGTGTTTTGCTTATCACCATCTGTGCTGCTACGTGCACTTTACTCCATGGAGACAGTGAAATTAACCTGGTTAATTTCACGTAAATTTTATATTATTATTTGTATTACGATAGCACCTAGGAGCCCCAGTCATGGACCACACTGTGCTAGGCACTGTACAAACACAGAACAAAGAGATGGTCCCTGCCTCAAAGCGCTTACAATTTAAGTAGGGCCTGACCTTCCCCTCCCTGCTTAAGCAAAGTTTTCACTGCCTGATTCTGATCACCCCAGTTGAGTAGCATCTTGCTCCAGACAGATAGTTCCATTCACTTCCATGGAAGTGCTACTCCGGGTAAGCAATGGTATCAGAACCGGGCTCTCCATACAACCTAATAACCAGGGCAAGTAGTTTGCAAAAGGACAGCAGAATAGGACCAGCAGGCAGTTTCACTTTGTAGTCCTTGTGCTCTATTGCTCTGCTGTTTGCTTTCGGCTCATGACACTGCAGGGGGAATCTTCATGGCCAAGGAAGCGTTCAGTGACTTTTTAAGCAATGACCTTTCTCTTAGCATTAGGTTTTTCAAAAGTAAGCATGCGTGTGTGTGTGTGTGTGCGTGAGAAACCTAAAAATTTGGCACCTAATCCCCGAGCTGCAGACATCCTTTTAAACAAGCGTGTGTTTGACAGATTGCCTCTGTATCTCTCCTCCATCTAGTACTGAGGGGTACGCACAGCTCAGTCTGCGTTCCCCAGCCATGCCTGCCTTCTTCAGTGCAATGGGCAGTGTGTAGGTGACTGACCACTTCAGAATGCAAAAGCAAAAACGCTTCAAAGCCTGGTGCGAAGATGAGGCTCCCATTCTCAACCTGAATCCTTCCCGTGCCATCAGACTTCATTCAGGGCATGGACATTAATTTTTGTACTCAGAGTTATTAGAGCCTGTTTTAATGGTCTGTTCCAACAGTGATTTTTTAAAAAATGTTCCTATTTAAGAGGGAGTGTTCCTTGGGCCAAATTCTCCACTGCTGTAAAACTCCAGCAATGGAGCTCTGCTGATGTACACCAGCTGACGACCTGGCCCATTCTTTCAACCAGATTTCCATTGGTAAAAAGCTCTTGCAGTCCAATGGCATTAAGAGGTCTTTCTCCCCAAATGCCCTTTTTATAGCTTTATCATGTGGCAGGTCTGGGGGCAACTCTCTAAGGAAATGGCATGGAGAGGCCAACAAACTTTTAATCATGTTTTCGTAATGTACAAAATCAGCTAAATATGGCTGACCCCAGAGGAAAGCACCTCTTTGCACACATGCAATGATATTTTCATCCCTAAATTTTCATTGTTTACTGAATTATAGTTCATGGTTCCTCTGTATATGAGCTTAATTCCAGCTGCTCTGATAATACTTAGCTCTTATACAGAATTTTTATTCTACAGCTATCACAACATTTTAGAAAGGAAGGTCAACATCATTATCCTCAATGTACAGATGGGGAAACTGAGGCACAGACAAAGTGACTTGCCCCAGCTCTCTGCATGTGAGTGACAGAGTCGGGTATAGGACAACTGCCCTGTTAGTTTTGTTTTACTGAATACCCACCTATATTTATACACCAGTGGATTTTTGTGTTTTCCTTCGCACCTGATCATCTAGGCTAAGATTGTCAAATGAGGCTATGGAGTTAGGCACCCAATTTGTTTCAGCTTTGAAACCCCCAGCCCTAATTTCTTGTTGCTGGGCCCTACCCTGCAGAACCCTATTTTAAAGAGCAGACAGTGAGCCCAACCTTCCAGGGCTCAGCCCACTGTGTGTGCTTTAAAATCAGTAAAATCTTACCCCCTTCCCCATCCAACCTAACTCTATCAATATTTGGCTGTTGCCAATGTGCTCAAGCAGAACGCTCCCCCTCACCAACAATGAGCTGAGAAAGGAAATGGGGACAGAAAGTGGGAACTGTTGCTCCTTGGCAATCTGCTCCCCTGGGGCGCTGGGCCTGTCAGGCGCACATTCACTTCATGCCTGAAATGTCACTAGGCTGGGCAAATATTGTATATAAGCTTGCCCTCTCTGGGTCCTGCAGTGCTCCTGGAGGGGAGAGGCACTGGAAGGCGGAGTACAGCAGCGAGGCAGTTGGACCTTTTGGGAAGGCAATATGTTAGGTTCATCTGCTCTCTGGTTCTATCCTCTGTCCCCCTTCTCTTCCCTCCTCCCCACCTTTTATTTTGTAGTTGGCCTGTCTTTCCCCTAGCTAGGCAAGCATTTCCCTTACGCGGTGCTTGCTGAATTAGCAAGCAGGAAGGCTGCTTAAGCCTGACCTTTTCATCCCATCTTCCGCTGGAGACCGGGCAGCATCAGTGCGTCCAGTCACCAAGCCACCTGCCTCTCCTAGCCTACGCTATGTTCCAACGTCAGGCTCTTGTACTGCTGGCTGGGCAAACCACTTCCGCTGCACCATGAGTCTTCTACTAGTTTTACCCATGAGCCACACACTTGCTATTCTGTGTGGGTGTGTGTGTGTAATAGTTAGTTATTTATATATATAGGTGGAGCTGCATTTCCACTTACATCACAATTTGGAGGTTGAGAGGTGTGTGGTTTTTTCCCCTGGTCTTTTCACTTCCTGTTCTTACATGGTGTGGATGGAGATGTACATTTTTAACCGCAGCCCCAGGGTGCTGCAGAGGGTTAACCCATCACTCTTGCAGCCAAATCCTGCTTGCCTCACCCATGCAGGCAGCCTGTTGCAATGAGCAAAGCAAACAGAATTCAGCCCCCTAATGCTGCCTTCCATTCATGGATGGTGTAATGTCAAGCCCTCAGCCCTGCTGATAGCACATTGCAGGAATAGCAACCCAACTTGTTTACAGCAGCAGAGCGCTGCAAGTGTCGGCATTTGTTTGCATTCTGATTTGTCAGAAAGCACCCTTTCCTTTTTTTAAAAAGGGGGCATCGGCGAAGAGCTGGCATGGAAGGAACTCCCTTATCATATGAAAAGCAACACCCTTGTTTTCTCCACAATCTCGTGGCGGGGTGACTTCTGCTTTCAGGTTTTACAGTGTTGCTGGAACCCTCGGACTACCCTCTGAATAAATGGTATTGCATTTGGATGGCTACCAAACCAAGCGTTTCTGTTTTGGAGACTGATTTTGTTCCCCTGGGCGTCAATGGAAAAACACCCAATGCCTTTAAGGGGGCAAGATCAAGCCCTTATCTCTTTTTTTAAAGAAGTGTACAGTTTTAATATTAGAGAAGGTAAATCAAATGGGTTAAATGGTGCTTCACCAGCCAAGTCCTGCTTCCCCTACTGCAACACACACACACACACCTCTCCCTCACTGGAAATACTTACATTCCCTGCTCCCCGTAGTGGTTGTAAAACTCCATATGGCTACATGCTTGAATCCAACCCACGATCCAGGTCTCTTTCTTGGAGATAGGAGGTACCAAGACCTGGGCAGAGGCTCGAAAGTGAGGGGTCCGGTATCGCAGAACCACGCTGGACGATTCGTCGATGCTGGTGGGAACAGGATCGATGGAGGCTTTCACTTCAATCACTGAAATACTTTCCCGGAAAACTTTGGATTTGCAGCTAATACTCTGAATACAGCCCATGGCATACAACACCAGTGCAATTCCTAGGACACTCCAGCAATCCTGGGGAAGATTAGGCATTGAAATGATATGGTGCTAGATCAAATATAGATCTTCCTGGTTTGTAATCTCAAAAATGATATCCATAGGATAGAAAATTCATCATATAAAGTCTTTATTTGAATTTCAGGATTATCGCTGCTGCTTTTATGGATTTAGCTGCACTTCAGAAGCAAAGGGGCCTTTTCTTATTCTCCAGTTAATGACAGATGAAATCTTTCATTCATATATTCTTTGGATTAAAAAAAGTCTTGAGTTCAATAAATAATCATCTCCTTTTTTTAAAGATGAGATATTTAGTCCTTCCTCTTTTTGAATGCCATCTGTTCACCATGAAACATCAGCGAAGCTGGCATTTCCCTTTATTCTTTGGATGAAAAAGCAGAATGCTGATAGACACATCTATATAAATAATAAAATACTTCTTGTCACAGCCCCTGTAGATTTTCACTTCCGGACTTGCAGTTGTTCATAACTTCCCTTTGCAAAGAAAAATAGTACTGTAATTAAAAAAAAAACGGTGGAAAATGTTAAATCAGCCACATCTCTGAGTTGGAGGCTTCTGTAGATGTCAGAGATATGGGTGTTGCTGATTTTTTTTTTAAGTAATAGCTTAAATAATAAATCACAGGTCTTTGTCACGCATCACATTCCCCCGGCTTTGCATGTAGAAACACAATAGGAGGAGAAAAGAATAAAATGAGCAGTTCCCAAGGAGCTATTTTAGCTTTTTCTATTGCACCACTTCGCTGATTTCTGGTTCAACTTTGCTCTCCCTTCTTCCCTCAGTCACTGTGGGTTCCAGCTGCAGAAACATAACTGGTGGAAGCACAGCAGACGCCCTGTCTCCTCCCCCGCTGGGCTTTTCGCGATCTGGGGGGAGTGGGGCTACCTCGCCTGGGTTGAGTCCTGCCACCTCTCCGCTCCGCACCTGGCTGTGGGATGGGGAGGCGGCGGCTCTGAGGTCTGTAGAAGTTTTGTCAAAGTTTCTCTGCTGTTACTGGTGGTGGCTGATGCTTCTGCTTCGGGTAGAGCTGCTCTCCCGCTCGGTCACGATCCGCCACGCTGACCCAGCCTGCAGCAAACAATCGCCGCCCGTGACATCTCCACGCCCCCGCCACCTGGGCTGGGGAAGGATGCGAAGCCGGCAGGATACGAGCCCGGCGGTGGCTTCGCAGCTTCCCCCCCACCCCCCCTCCTCCTCCTCCTCCTCCTCTTCCAGCGCTGGGCTTCTAGTTTGATGCTGCAGTGGATCGCATGTCACGCCGCCTGTGTCCTCAGATGTCTCGGCAGCCTGCCTCCGGGGACCAGGCTCGCCCTCACCCCCAGGGGCTCATCTGCAGGCATGGGGCGCGTGTGAACACAGACAGAAAACCGCCTTTCCCCCCGTCTGTGCTTCCGGATCCTTCTGTCTTCAGAGCTTCACAGCATCCTGCACCTTGGGGGAACTTTGCATGTTCACAAATGCACCTCCCCCCCCCCTTTGGACAAATGTCAGTCACCGGCTCAGATCGCCTCGGAGCTGCAGCTGCTGGTGTCGGGACCGCAGCTTCTTCGTGCATCCGTTTGCTAGGCTTTTCCAGCCAGACCTGTATTCGCGTGTGTGTAGGGTGGTTTTTTTGCTTTATGTCTAGGAAGGTGAGCAAAGCAGGAGCGATCCCCCCACTCCCACCCCAGCTGTTGCAAGCTTCCTCTTTTTGCAAGAAATCGATCAGGGGGGCAGTATCTGAATTGTATTTCAGCCTCTCCCGTGGATCAGTCCCTTGGACGGCGGGGGGACAAAACCCGGCTTCAGTTTCTGCTGCAGCATCAGAAAGGCAACCAGGTCAAACTTTGCAAGAAACTCATTCCCAGCATTTTCATGCCCGTGGCATTCTCCTGCAGCCCAGCTGTTCTTGCAGGCTCTCCAGGGAGGGAGCTCTGTGCATGACAGCTTCTTTCCCTCCGCCCCAGTCCAATTGCAGTATGATTAGCAGGTCTCTCTCTCTGCCGCTCATACCTTCCTCTCTCTCTCTCTCCTAGCCCTCCCCCTGTATTCCTCGCTCAATCTGCAGCTGTTGGAGCTAAACCTCTTTGCAAAACGGCATTTCCTTTCAACAGCTTCAGGCATTCTGGGTAATGTAGTTTGGGTTTTTTCATTCCACCTATATATATATATATATATTTTTAAATGCAATGCATTTTCTGTCACTTTAATTTTGGCCCTTTTCTCTCCTCTGGAATATTTGCTGGTTGAAGTTTGGTAGGTGGATTCAGTCAGTGGCATGACATTCCCTTAGTCCTAGAGGCTCTCTGGGCTGGGTGAGGATTCTGGCAATGGGAAATCAAAAGCTCTCCGTAGTGGGAAAAGGGCTGAGGAATTACTAGGGCTGCCCGGGGGGAAGGGGGAGGGGGGAACAAGTGGGGCAATTTGCCCTGGGCCCCGCAGGGGGCCCTATGAGAATATAGTATTCTATAATATTGCAATTTTTTTTATGGAAGGGGCCCCCAAAATTGCTTTGCCCCAGGCCCCCTGAATCCTCTGGGCGGCCCTGGGAATTGCTGGCATAGACCGAAAATTGAAAGTGGCTGTTAGGAAGCAATGGCTCGTGGGAAAGTTATTACCTTGTATTACTGATACTTGCAATGTTGCTGCAGTGGTCTTGTTGTATATAAGCCAATTGCTAAGGTTGAGGTTTTTCCTCAGTGTGTTGGGTGCTGGGCTCTGTGAAAATCTGAGCATGAACCCTGCTGGGTGAGCACAGCTGCAAACCTGGGGTGCATGCAGGTGTGTATGTGTGTGCTTTTATAGAATTATTCTTCTAGCTCTTAGTGCTTTTCATCTGTAGAGCTCAAAACTCTTTACAAAGATGGTCAGTATTATTACGCCCATTTTGTAGATGGGGAAACTGCGGCACGGAAACATGAAATGACTTGCCCAAGGTCAACCAGCAGTACAGTCTATTATCTCAATATAATAAGATGGATATTTGTGTGTTATTTACAAACACAATTTATTTAGCTCTGACAATGTGATTGGCACTGTGCCATCTACCCAGGTACAATCTCTGCCCTTGACTCTACAGTCGTCTAATAGATACACGGAAGTTTGGGAGGCAGAGGGAAATTCAGACACGCAGATGCCTTCGGGACAGGGCAAGGTTGTATCTGCTCCTCATGGGCAGTGCTGGAATCACAATGGAGCCCATTGGATCTGAGACCCGAGCGAGAGCACAAGAATTTCATTGGGATGTGCAGGCATAAATTCCCGCCTCCAACTCTGTCTGACCAATAATGTTCAGCCCTCCCCCCTCCCTCATTCGTCCACCCTTCTGCCCTGGAGAACAGCATGAGGTGGTTTGCTGAGCCCACGCACCTTCCTCGGCCTGCTCCCCCTCTTCATGCACCTTCCACTCTTCATGCAGAACAGAGCAGAACTGGCCACCCCACTCAATAGGTTGGGGCAGAAAGAGCCAGGGAGGGACACTCAGGCCCAGAGAGTACCACAGAAGGAGTTTCCCTGGCTGCCAGGGTGATGGGCTGATGGGGAGGGGAGTGGTGAGCTGCTAAGCAAGCCCCTGACTGTAGGAAGAAATGACTGTAGGGGAGTGGGGAGCAGAGACCAGCCCCAGATGGAGCAATCTTTTATTGAAAAAATAAATACTGCCGTATTCTACACTAAAGGACTCAAATACTGCAGCTGGAGCTAGCGTTGCTGTAGCATTCCGGATTAATACTCCAGAATACTGTCGTGTATTTTAAATAAGGTTCCTTCCTCCCCCACCACCTCCTCCTCCTTCACCGCCACCTCCAAATCAAAAGCCTCCTGAAAACAAGTCCCATCATAGGAAGGCAGAAGGTTTTGCTGTTGAGCAGTTTGGCTGCAAGTGTCTGCTGCTGCTGCTTCTTGGCAGTGATTGCTGGAGCTTGGCTGTGGCTGCTGGCACTTGGGGTGTGCTGAAGGTGTCGGTGATGTTGGTGTGGGCGGGGATGGGGATGGGGAGGTTTCCAGAATCACGGGGATAGAGGCATTGCTGCTGTTCCCTGACTGCATCTCCACTGCAGGCTGCGTAGCTGGGATTGTGGACTGAGCTGATAGGCAGCAACAGCTATGCGGGGAATTCGGGCCATCAGACCCCGCCAGCCCAGGGGAATGTGGAGCCAGCCTGGGAGGAGGAGCCTGCTGGTTGGGGAGGGAGCAGACGAGGAGGGGAAACGTGCTGGGCCTGGGCAAGCAGCCACCTTAGGCAAAACTTCAGTCTGCTGCCCCCCACCTATTCTCCTAGAAGTTTGCAGCAGACCCTCTGCGCCTCCCCCACTGCTGCTATCCCCCAGCCCTGAGCCTCATGCCGGGTCGGAGGCTGATGGGGCAGACCTCAGCCTGGGCCCCAGTGACAGTCAGTCAGTCTGGGACAGACCCCAATCTGACATCCCAGTGGGTTGAGTTGGACCAGGCCACCATGCAAGTCCCCCCAGGCCTATGCCCTAGGCCCTGCAAGCTGCCAAGACCTGCTCTTTGGGCCCGCAGTATCCCTAGCCGGGGCCACCTTTCCCAATGGGCCTTTCCGGACAGGTTGGCACCAGCTACCCAGGGCTCAAGAGGAGAACGAGCCCCAGCTCAGCATTGCTGGCCAGCAGCAGCTTCTTCCCCTGGGGCCGCTCAGCTCAGCTCAACCATAACAGGACCCAGGCTCGGGCAGAGGGCAGCTCTCGGCCCACGGGGGCCTAGTGAATGGGCAATGTGGACCCCCCGCCTCGCCCTGCATGAAGCCACCTGGGCTGGGGATGTGATTCGCCCTTTGCATAGTGGGCAGCAGGCTCCTTGCCACTGGCAGAGTGGGGTTCTCCACCCCTCGGCCCCCACACCTGGCTCCCCAGCCCCACGCCACTAGTCCCCCGCCTGCCCACCCCTGCACACCACAATCCCAGCCTGTCCCCCTGCACTCTGCACTCCCACCTCCTGCCTCCACCCGTCACCCCCATACTGCCCGGCCCACCCCTGCACTTTTCTGGATTTGCGTCTCAAGGTTGGGCTCGTAGCGGTGTCAGTCCCTCCAGAGCCCACCCATGGGGGAGTTGAAGCAGCAGCTGGGGCAGGAGCCAGGCACTGCGTGGGCAGCAGGGCCTATGGGGGGCCAGGTGCCAACCTGGAGCTGGGTGGGGCATTGCACTTGTGGCTGAAGCCCTACCAGCACTCGCGGTGCCGCAAGGAGCAGCCCCAAGCCGCTCAGCACCTAAGCTACGGCTGTGACCACTATCTTACCTGCGCCGGGCTCAGGGAATAGCAGAGAAAGGGCAGGAGCCCTTCCCCAGCAGCCCAGCTGGGACCCCTTCCTGCTTCTTGGAGCCCCGGCTGGTGGCTGCCCACAGGCCTGGGCAGCCCCTCTGCCGCCACCGCCAGTCTGCCGCCTTCCAAAATCTGCCATCCTAGGCAGCTGCCTAGTCTGCTGTAGCTAGCAAGGCCTCTGAAGCATGGCCTCAGGGAAGGGAGCTGGAATCCATCAGCCTGGGAGTTCTCCAAGGTGCTAAAATAAACCCAGTGTGGATCAGATTGCAAAACCAAAATAACCCAACAGCAGCAGCCTTGGAAATCTGAGCAGAGAGCACAGCGCTCAGCAGAACGAGTGTGAGGGAGGGAAGGCGCATTTTAATGGTTTATTAATAATATTTCAAAGCCGTGTATTTCTGGTTAGCTTCCAAAACATGGTGCGCCTCTGCGAAACCTGCTTCACCTCTCCCTCCCCACACGCAACATGCCTGTGCAACATGGGTCCGTGCTCAGGGCAATCGGCGAATGATGCAGACTCAGTGTGATCTGTAGGAAACCCAAAACTTTTCTCTTGAACTCTCCTCTCCCTCCCGGGCGACGGACCATTGCAGCCTTCCTATTTGTGGGGCTGCTAGCAACAAGCTGCTAAAAGCAGAGCCCCCCGCCCAATACAGTCTTACCTCTGAAAAAGGGGAAAAGCAATGAATTGTCTCCTTTCCTCTCTTTAGGAAGAGTGGGAACTGGGCAGATAATTGCCTTCCTCTCCCATCAAGCTGCTGGGAGGACATTGGGAAATAAGCTGCTAAATCTGTGTGGTGCCCTAGTTAACCACTTGTGCTTATGTTCGGGTGACCAGACAGCATGTGTGAAAAAGACTCAAAAATCGGGACATCTGGTC